TGACTCATGACATAAGGTCAAAACACATTCACCCAATATATGCGTGAACACACAGCATTATATCAGAGAACAGGCATCTAAAAGCTGACATTTATATTCAAAAAAATATTTTTTAATCAGCCTTGCTCACTCCAATTCTGGTAGTGTACTTTCAGGAGAAGCAGCTCTTTCCATGAACAATCAGAGTTTATGTAAGGCCATCCATCCATATGAGCAGATGAACATCATTATAAGCCCGCTCTCAAGATTGCAATGTTCCCAAACATTATGCTACGCAGTCAACAGTTACAATGAGTCAGGAGCTCACTGCTCACCAGTAAGTGGCACTGGCCTTTTTGTTCTCTTCTGAGTCAATCTCTTTATTGTTTCACTCCTTTGGTAGAGATTGTTTTAATATGTCCCATTTCTGAGCAAATTCTCTCAGCTCATCTTCAAAATTCTGAAATTCCACTTGGGTTCCCACTGGGCTGTGTTTGTTTATAAGGTCACGAAAGGTTTCTTTAAGCTAAATCAAGCTGGGTAGCATTGCTGTGCCTGAAGTTTTCTGTAAGCAATATCTGTAGCAAGACGAAATGGGTTTTAAATCATTTGTAAGAGACTGAGTTCCTTGTCCAGGCCAACCCTCAGGACATTTCTTGCCTGTTTTTTTTTTTGTTTTGTTTTGTTTTTTTTGTTGTTGTTTTTTTTATGTTGAATGACATAATGGATGTGAAAGTTCTTTGTGAACCATAAAGACCTTTGTAATGTAGGGGATTATGATGATGATCTCAGAGTTTGGGAACATCCTGTCTCCTCGGGTTTATTTTATTCCCCATTTTTCAGGGGTCATCAGATTTCTAAAGGAGACCAGAACTCTTTTCCAAGATTTCCTTTTACATTTGCAATAGAGTAGAACCTAATTAATAATACAATTATTCACTTATTTATTTACAAAATATTTATTGGATACTTTCTATGTACTAAGCATTGGCCAGGATGCTGGGGATAAAAGAGCCAATGACATAGTTCCTGTCCTTCAGGAACTTAACTTTTATTTGGTTCTCACTCCATGCCAGGCACAGTGCTAAATACTTCACTCACATTATCTCAATTAGTATTTATAACTATGCTTAGTTAATTACACTATCCACATTTTGCACTTAACACATAATAGCAGAAACAATGATGTCAATGATGAACATTTATTGAGTGCTTACTGTGTCAGATGATGACCTAAATGCTTTACAAGCATCTCAGTTAATCCTCAAAATCCCCATAAGAGTATTACATTGTCCCTATTTCCCAACTAACGACTAACATTTATTGACCACTTAATATTGGCAAGTGTGACCCTAAGCACTTTATGTGAATTATATCATTTAATTCTTTCAAGAACATCATGAAGGAGATACTACTATTATCCAAATGCTTAAAGAACATGCCCATGTTCGTATGGCTGGAGCTGGTGGAGTTGACATTCTAACTCAGCTCTTTAGAAAGCCCGTGACCTTAACCATGACGCTAAACTGGCTCTCAAGAACACATTATTCCCAGAATAACTGACTCTCAGTTGACAAAAAGATGTCAAGGTACACATCACAGCCAACATTGAAGGAAGATCGTTGAGAAATCTGAAAGCAGATGTTGTTTTTATTCACCTTGTAGTCTTGTTGCATGATAGCTTCCAAATTTCAAAAAAAGACTTCAATGTATCTTAATTTACTTTGTATTTGCACTGTCAGTAAATATGGTCTCTAAAAAGCGATGGGCAGAGAAACACAAAGGGCTTAAAACCTTGAATTCTCCTGAACTCACTGCTGGTACCAATGCTTTCTAGGTAAAGCCTTATTCTGTAATATTTCAGATTCACCTGAGATTTCCTCCTGAGTATTTCTAGAGAGGGGTACAAGAAATGTGGAAATTTTGTCAAATATAATGATATTCTGAAAACTATTCCTCAAAACACACGTGTGTGCATTGCCCCCCCAACACACACACACACACACATACGCAAGAATTTCTTTTGTAACATTCAGCAAAATCCCTTGCATTGAGCAAGAACTCAATACATGGCTGTAGAACAGAATGGAATGAAATAGAAAGTAATAGAGCAGAATAATATAGAATAAAATGTCACAAGTTCAAATGGAAAGAAACTGCATAGACTAGAATGTCTAGTAATTAAATACAACAGCATAGATAAGAATGGAAGAAAACTGATGCCCGACATCTGTTTTGATATATTATCATTTCTTTATACTTGCAGAATTCAAAAGGAGGGCTTGTCTGAATAGCTGGTCCCTGACAGCCACAGCAGCTCATGCCGGACTGTAGATCAAAACAGGGCCACTCAGCAGTGGAGGAGTCCCCCCTCCCCAGAAGACCCTCAGTTCAGAGCATCCAACACCAGGAATCTCCTTTTATTTCCAGGTAGGAGAGGAGCTAGGGAATCCTAAATTTGCATAGTTCCCTTTTAACTTCTGCCTTCCTTGAGGGGGAAAGCTCCTATGTCCAGGGTCCTTGCTGATGCTGGACATGAGATACATCCAGAACAAAATTTTGAGCTAAAATCACATATATAGAGTTTTGGCTTTGGGTAGTCTGTCTACAGTCCTCAGAAAGCCTATGCTGAAGGACCTGCATATTGGTAAGAGGTTATGCAAATGTGTCTAGCTCCTGGTTGCCTAATACCTTCAGAGAAGGCACAAGCACTTCCAAAGAGCATTGTTCTAAGAGCTGCCCTGGGTCACCTTTGGACCAGGCCTGTTATCCAGAGAGGGGCTCTATCCTGCATCACCAGGGTATCCTTGGGGATCATGTCCTTAAATGGAAGGCTGTGAGCCTGGATATCAAGAAGGAAGACTGAGCCCAAGAAGCCTGATCTATTTAAAGGTGCTGGTGGGAATGGGAAAGTCTCTGGTGAATCAAGAGAGTCAAAGAGTCTCCATGACAAGACCACAGACATCTCACCAACTCCCCTCATAGAGACACATATGTATTGGTTCTGTTTCTCTGGAGAAGCCTGACTAATTCACCATGGCTTTGCCCTCTCCTCTATTAATGTATGATGTATTAATGCTTCCCCTATTGATTCCTGTGTGTGTGTGTGTGTGTGTGTGTGTGTGTGTGTATACGTACATTTTTAGAAAGTTTGTATAAACATGGGAAAAGTTCTGGAGAGATACATAGCAGATACAGTGGTTTCCTCCTCCTCCCTGCCCCAACCCCTCAGGGAGTAGGGGGAGTACGGACAGCTTGGTGGAGACGTTTGTTTTGCTTTGCTTTTTATAATAATCACTGAAATACACTAAGTGCTTGCTAAATGCTCAGAGACGTGCTAGCGTGCTACCTATACAACATCGATTAATATGCATAATAACCCTGTAAATAATGCTTACTCTATTTTACAGGAGCTTGAACTAAGGCCTCGGGAGGGTAAATAATGACCCCAAATTCGTAAGACTTGAATGCTACGAAGCCACCGTTCAATCCCAGGTCTGTCTGATCCAAAACTGTGCTCTGTCCATGATGTACTGTCTCCACGAAGGGATGATTATAACATAAATAATATATATACACGTATACATACATATATAAACATGTATAAAATAAAAACCTACACATACATATGTGTACAAATAGAGAAAACATTTTTTTCAATGTACCTATGTTACTCCTACTTTTTTTTAAGAATAGATTTCAGTATTTACCCCAAAACAATACAAATGAGTAAGATCTGGGAAAGGAAAAAAGAGGGATAAGTTCAGGGAAGAATAATCTTTTCACTGTCACTGCTTTATTTTGTATTTCCCCAAAAGCAGAGCCTGAGACAAGGACTCGGGTACATGTCGTTCATTTGGGAGGTGATCCAGGGAAAGAGAAAAAGCTGAGACAAGGAAGTACATTGGGGTCACTGCTGCAGGCAACATGGTTTGATTTGGCCAGGGTGTCTGAGAAGCAAACAAAGTGCCTCTCAGAACTGCCCACCTGAAGGAAGAGAAGCTGGGCCATTTCCCACTGGTTTCTTCTGATCCCCTTCATGGAGGTTTATCCCCAGGGGCATTAACTCCTGGCCGAGAAAGAAAGCTTTTGAGGTGGAAGTCTGCCACTTGAGTGTATCTTATCTGAGGCTGAAATACAGGTAGGCAAGGGGAGGTGACAGAGGATTCCACAGGAATCAGTCACATGCACCATGTGAAGATTACCCCCGGGGGGGGGGGGGATCTTTTCTGTTTTGTTGAGATCATCGTTGTTTCTTAAGCGGGCTTTGTTCCAAGGAAAACTATGGGATCCTTCCCACAGGCCATTCCTTTGAGCCAGCCCCAACCAGCACTCCACTGGCACACAGCTCTGAATGGACGTGGCTGGGACAGAGGGGGCGCCCGCCAGCAGACAGAGATGCAGGGGCAAGGCGGCCCACGAGGGAACCTGGCTTCTTCACGGACAGGCCTTTCCGACACTCACCACGAACCTCACGAGCCCACCGGCTCCCTTGCTCTGAAGCGATACTCAGAGAAGGGACGGACCAGGAGGAAGAGTTTCGTGTCAAATTGCCCCTGAACTTTCAACTCCATCGCTGCTCACAGCTGCCATGCATAAGAATCCTAGCGAGAGCTTCCAAGGTTTTTATACATGTGTGGGCAGGAGAGGAGGTGAGGAAGTGAACCAGAGATGAAGAACTCCAAATTACAAGAAGAATGCCAACTGTCAATAATCAAAATAATTCTTCTCTGCATAATCAACACCACGTCGGCACAGCTGCTGAGGAGGAAACAATAAACTGCAGGCAAAAATAAAAGTGTCTCTTTCTCTCCTGCTACCTTACAAGGAAAACACACACTGGAGCACGGCTTTGTGGAGTAGCTCCTAAAGCATGCAATCAACATTTCCTTGAAACTACAGCTGGCGTCTTGCATCCAGCAAACGGCTCTCTTTCCACATTATTATTTATTTAGACCTTGTAGAGATGCTTTAGCACTCAATCGCTAGGCCATTCGCTTGACAACTGATGGTGCTGCCCGATGGCGCTCCTCACGTTGGAATGTCGACGTTACGCGTTTACACGGAAGTCCATGTTGGATGTGATCGGGATTACGTGACACTTGGCCAGGGCTACCGGGCGATTAGGCAGGAGCCGCAACGTTGCTACACATTTCACAGCACGGCATCGACTGTTTTGTGGAAAGGGACGATCTCGGGTTTCTTGAATTGAACATTGGGGGATCCAAAGTCATCAGAGTGGAAAGTATTGGCTCTGGAGTCCGACAGCTCGGGTTGGAATTACACTCTGCCACTTACTACCTTGTGACCTTGAGAACCTCACTTGACCTCTCAAGGCCTCAAAGCACTCACCAAAGAAGGGGAACAGGAATAGTCCCTCGCATGTCTGTAGTGGGAATTAAGTAAAATAATGTGTATGATATGCTCTACATGTAGTAAGTGCCTGGTCAGCGTTAGCTGTTATAACTGCTCTGGAGTTGAGCAAGGTTTCATCTTTCTATCCTCAATTTCCTTCCATAAAATAGTAATGGCCTACACTAGTTTTGTCCTGGAAGGATTTATAATTCCTAGGATTTTTTAATGTTTATTTATTTATCGTAAGAAAGAAAGAGAGACTGGGGCGCCTGGGTGGCTCAGTCGGTTGAGCATCCGACTTCGGCTCAGGTCATGATCTCGCTGTTTGTGGGTTCAAGCCCCGCATCAGGCTCTGTGCTGACAGCTCAGAGCCTGGAGCCTGTTTCAGACTCTGTGTCTTCCTCTCTCTCTGCCCCTCCCCCACTCATGCTCTGTCTCTCTCTCTCTCTCTCTCTCTCTCTCTCTCTCTGTCAAAAATAAATAAACATTAAAAAATTTTAAAAAGAGAGAGAGAGAAGGAGGGGCAGAGAGAGAAAGAGAGAGAATGCCAAGCAGGCTCTGGCTGTCAGCACAGAGCCCAATGAAGGGCTCAATCTTACAAACTCTGAGTTCATGACCTGAGCTAAAATTAAGAGTCAGACGTTTAACTGACTGAGCCCCCCAGGCACTCCTAATTCCTAGCATTTCTACTTTCTCATTTCTCCCCAGTTATTCACTGGATCATGAACTGCCAAAACAGTGTTAAAATCTGGGTGCTTCAGGGCTGATGGGCAGAGACACAAGAAGTGAAGAGTGCCTTAGGGAAATGAACACACATCTCCCAGGTCAAAGAGTGAGCTTGCACTGGCTGATTTATCCCCTCTCTTCTGAACACATTCTCTCCATCTCCCTGACATATGATGCAGAGGACTTCAGCGTTGTAAGGAAAGGGACTGAGATCTGGAGATGATGGAGCGACATGCCCCAAGAAAGAGCTTCCTCTTGAACTCGGTCACCCTTGGTCACTCTCACCTTCCATCTCCCCAAAACAGCCCAGAGCAATGCTTATAAATTATAAAGCGCTCCCCTTCTTAAAAACTGTACTACTGGCATCCCACTGCCCTCAGATAAAGCCTGATTTCATAAATGTGGACTCGCTTCCACGGTGTGCACTACTCTGTGAGGGCACATGAGGGCACACAGGGCTCAAAGAAGCAGAACCGGACAAGAGTGAAGACAGGTGTGAGCCCACAAAATGAACTAAGAACGTCACCCCTGGTAAAATAATCCCGCACATCCCTGAGAGGAGCAGACCACTCTGAAAGTGAAAAAGAAAAAGAAGCCACATCACATCCAAGTCATGACCCCTTAGTCTCAGCCACGAGCCCCAGCAGCATCACAGGGAATCAGGAAGAACACTTGTTCTTTCTAATACCTTGCACATCAAGAGGGCAGAGAGTCCTCTAGTATCTCCCGGGCTAGCTAACATCCTAGGTTCAGAGACTGGTCAGTCCTGGCATGGATCCCAGCTCCGTGACCTTAGGCAAGTTCGTTTATCTCACAAGCCTCAGTGTCTCATCTGTACGCCAGAGACGCAAATAGCACCTACCTCAGAGGGTTTGGTGAGGACTTAAGAAGACAACAGATAAATTAGTACTTAGCTCAGATCATCAATAAAGATTAATTAATGTTGTCATTTACTAACCATCATTCATAAATTTGTTATCATTCTAAAAAACGGTTAAGAACTGCACTATGTGCCCAGAACTAAGCACAAGGCCTCAAGCCATGGGAGGAGGGATCAGGTGAGAGATGGAAGGAGGGTAACCAAGTTCACGGATTGATGTTGAAATACTTTCTTCTTAGACAAGCACCTTGGCCTCGGTCACAGTTTATTTGTTCTTCTCATAGGCGTTATTCTAACAGACTTAATTATCTGGCTTCCAGTTCCAGAACAGATTAGAGGCAGCTACACTGCTACGAGCAGGCACACCGTCTTAAGACGTGGAAGATGCCTCATCCCCACGTCCAGCCCCCACTTCTCATGGGTCTACACCCCCATTCCCTTCAACATTCCTGACATACTATGATTCATCTCTCTTTGTCCCTTAAATGCATTCCATCCTTTCTATCCCCTGAAATCAGAATCAAATGCAATGTTGCACGTGTGGCTTGGCCAAAAATTACGGGAGTCCAGGTTTTACAAGGACGTCACAGACACAGTGAGGTATAGTAAATGAGTGAAGAAAGCAAGAATAGGATAAGAAACGGTGTCTCTTTTGTGAGCAAATGAAGAGAAAATGCCCAGCCAAAGGCATCCCCGCATCCGTCACAAGAACAGCCAATAGCCTGACCCTGGTGATCTGTGTGAGCCACATGGGACGTGGCATTTGGGCCCAATAAGACTGAAAGAAAGAAGGGATATTTCAAGTTGCGGGAGAGCGACACTCCCCCTTTTGGACACAAACGAGGAAACCGAAGCCACCATCTTGCTCCCAGATGCCATCGTAACAACCATGAGAGGAACAGCCCATGTGGAGAAATACGGAAAGAACCCACATCCCTGATGAAGGCACGAATTGCTGAACAATCACCCCTGGGGCACAGCCTCCCTCCTGACTTAAGAAAGAGAACAAACGTTCTTACTGTTTAAGGCGGCGTGAGTTGGGGTTTCTCAGCTCGCCCTTAATAGTGTCCTAGAAACTACAGAATTAATGTTTTAACTTTAAAGCACTGTCATAACCCAGTAAGATCGGGAGCTCCTTGGCTGGGAGCAAATACAGAACTCTTGGGCATTTGGAAAGTGAGAGGTGCTCTAAGTGCAAAATTAGAAAGACTTAGTACAAGAAATATATACAAACCAGCTGATTAACATACTTTTCATATGGCTTACATTCTTGACAAAACATTGCCTTGGGTATGTTGGACTAAATACTGTCATTTGCAAAGTTGATTCTACATGTTTCTTTTTACCTTGTTTTTAAATGCGGCTACCGGAAAGTCTGAAGTCACGAATGTACTCACATCCAGCGGACGGCACTCATCTTGCTGTATTTCTTCCAATCAGCCTAAGGATATTAGGTCATACAAAACTAGTTACTCCTATTTCACTTACTGTCAGCAAAAACATTTGAACTTTTCCTACCCTTCCTTGTGCTAAATCATTTTTCTCCCTTCCTTTCTCTGTATACTTATGTTTTCAGCCTGCGTGAGGAACTTACATAGTTATAGCTCATCTTCAGTGCGTGGAAATGGGCCAGTGGTTCACCAGAGGGCGTGCTGGAAATCTGTGGGGGCAGGTGGGTTGTCACATGATGGGCAGGGGCTTGCCTGTCCCCTAGAGGGGACTGTCCCCCATGCCATTCCTATAGATGAAAAGTATGTTTATACATAACCGGCCAGAAGCAAATTCCATCTGAGTTATGAATACGGGGGGGGGGGGGGGGGGGGGGGGTGCACGGGGTTAATTTAAATGAATTTTCCGGGAAAGCAACTACAGAGGTATACTTTGTTTTGTTCAGAACTTTAGAAGGTATTCACCTTTTTAGAAACCCACATCATTTGTAACAGTGCCCCTGCTGGTTGTTTGTGTCACTAGCAGGGCTCAGCTGCACTGGCCCACATCTGAGCTGCTACAGTGAGGCAATTCTACGCATATGTATCAATGTACTTATTTCACCCTTATTTCAAAATGCCCCCTAGGAAAATAAAAAGCCTCAATACTATTCAGCTGAAGATCAACTTACTTCTCTGAAATCCAAACTGAGCCATTAGTTCAGAGTTGCCAGCATCTAAGTACCGTCAGTTCTGATGTAACACAACATACGCATTCCTAAAAAGTCAGCTCGCTCCGCAAAATCGCACAGCCAAAACCACAGGGCCTACGGGGAAGGTGGAACAAGGGGGCACGACACCGAGTGACTTTGACAGTGACACAGAAAAAAGAACCTAATAACAGTGGTTGCATGTTAAATGGTTTTATACACGTTAAATAAAGAAACACGCAGGTACCACAGAACGACGCACCTGAACTTGAAGAAGACCTGAGGTTTGCCTGTATAAGTACGGGCAATGGAAGGGCTATGGCTCATGAGTTGGTTTGGGGTGGAGGAAGCAGGGCCACCCGAATTGAAGAGAAAGGGGATGGGTGCACGGTACCACCCAGGTGAACCGAGGCAGCCGGCAGATGTTTGGGCTGTGCATGTATGTACGCTTTGTGTTTTCTATAAGCATATTTAGACATCTTTTTCCTAATCTGTCCGCCAGCATGGAATTTTTTATGCTGTCTGGCTGTGTGCTGTGTGTATTTGTGTTTTATGCATAAACAGAATAATATTTTTTGTTCCCCAAGAATGCACATTTGCCCTCCTGGGGACAACACTGCTCTCTTGAGATGCCTGCGGTCGAGGTACACAGAGAAGATGGTGGGAGCACAGAGAAGAGGGTGACTCATCGCCTGGGACAGTCAGGGAGGGCAGAAGAGGAAATGACATTTGAACCAGGTTTTGTAGGATGAGTAAGACTTGCCATCTGGGAAAAGGGATGGAAGGAGTTCTAGAAGGAACAGCTTCTAGGCGTGATTGTTAAATGTCTGCACAGCATGGGGTGCACTGAGAGCTACACATCCACAGAAAGAGTGGGGAATTTAGAAATACAAATTTTAGTACGATTTGAGAGACAAACGGACTCTTAAGAGGTATCAAATCCTAGAAAACTTTTGGGGGCAGGAGTGCATAAGGAGCAGAAACTGGGAAGGACGCT